TATATATATCAATGGTAGTTTAATATAAGCAGCAGTGTGAATATAAACAATAGTGGGAATGTAAACAGCTGAAAACAGCACCTCAGACTGAGGAAGTCTCTTGGATGAGAGACGAAACGTTTCTAGATTTTTTTGCTTTGTTCTGTTTTTTGTTTTTTTGAATGTCCAGAGGACCAGATTTAACTTTTTTGGATTTTTCTACCTGGATTATTGAGCATGCATCAGGATAGTAGTATGAATATGAACAGTAGTTTGAATATGAACAGTAGTATGAATATAAACAGTAGTTTGAATATGAACAGTAGTTTGAATATTAACAGTAGTGCAAATGCAAACAGTAGTATTCAATAGTACTTCAATAGTAGTAAGCACAGGTCATTAGTAGTATACAATATTCCCCGACCGTGTCAGGATGCTGCTTGTTATGGTCCATGTGTTAAGGAATGGCTCAAAGTACAAAATACTTATGGAGTCCAGATGAATGGAAACTTTAATTTTTTTTTTATGAAAACAGTACTCACAAACAAAACCAGAAGGAGTTGGGAACACCCCAACGGGTAAAGTTCATTCCTTTTAAAGACTTGGCTGCCAATCAGCTCTTGAAAGACTGGACATGGTAACTTATCAGACACCCAGAGGAGCATGACACTATGACACATACTATAAGAGCAGCATGGCACTACCAGCACAGGTATCATGTCTGCAGTAGGTTGTTTCCATGACCTGGTCAAAGGACAGTTAGCCTAGGCATGAGACAGCCCTAAATCTTTCACACTCTTGTTTAAAAAGAAGTTCAGTGCTTAAAAAACACCCTGAAGACGTCCCCAAGATCCTGAAAGAGCAGCTATGTTCTGGCTGACTTCTGGCTGTCATACTTAAGTTTTTGTCCAATGTAAATAGAGTCTAATGCCAAGTTATATTGCTTTATTTATTTGATGGAGAATGTAAAGGTCATGGATGTTTTCCACTTACTAATGTCAAAATTGATATAGAACCATGTATGTGAAGACGAGAGACTTTTTCTCTACTCGGAGAGGAGCCTGATAACTGAAAACTGATAGCTGATAAAATTTGACGCCTTCAACTACTGTGAGCTGTGAAGCAGAGGTCGTCTCGACCTCTCCTTTGTCTGCCAATGGATATTTAAGCTTTTGTTAACTCTTTCTCTGGGAGCAGACCTTGGAGACGAAGTGCCATGTAACAGCTCGATGGTTCTATTTCAACGCTGCTCCTCTTGCTAAATTAAACCCAGGTTGATAAATATCTTTTAGTTTCCTTGCATGGCTTAATTATTTAATGAGTTGATGATAGGATAATTAAATTATCCAACATTTTAGCCTTAATATTTCACCAAGCAACTCCTATTGAGATCAGCTCTTTTGCAAGGGAGGCCTGGGCCTGAAGGCAGCCTAGCATGCATGTTTTTGGTGTGTGGGAGGAAACTGGAGCACTTGGAGAAAACTCACACAAATGAGAAGAACATGCAAACATGTAAACAGCCATCAGTGTGCTAATGATCCATTGTTAGGCTGATGGTCCTTCTTGAGCATGTGATCAGCTGGTTTTGGTTGTCAGCAGCAAAACTGGTTGATCCACTCTGAGACGGTGCTATTTAAGAGACTGAGCTGAATACAGCACCTCAGACTGAGGAAGTCTCTTGGATGAGAGATGAAACGTTTCTAGATTTGTTTGCTTTGTTTTTTGTTTTTTTTGAATGTCCAGAGGACCAGATTGAACTTTTTTCGATTCACACAGAAATGCTCCAGGTCCAAACCAGGGATTGAACCCCAGATCTTCTGTCTGTGAGGCAACATTGCCAACCACTAAGCCATCATGCTGCCCAAATCACCCTCTTTGTTCAACTTCCTTGTTCTCTTAAGTCAGTGGACATTTTACTACAGAATGCAGTTCATAAAAATAAATCAGATTAGTCTTTTTAAGGACTTGATGAAAACTGACCTGGGATACTTGTGGGATTCAAACAGAAATTAAAATTTTGTTTGACTTCGTGTTGAATTTGCAGCTCTGTCAATCCTCTCCAACTGTCTGCCTTTTTGTCATTTTCTTCTGGTAAAAATAGTTTGCTGCACTTTTCACATGACTGGCTGAGTTTTTCACCCCAATTGTCCTCCAGAGAAGCTGCTTTCGGCTGTTTCGCCTGACAGTTGCAGATTTCTGTTTTTGTGAACACTGACCAGTTTCATCCTGTTCTCCAGCTCTGATTTTGTGTCCTCGCTGTGCTCTCTGCTCCTGATCTGGATTTTCAGATTACAGAACCCTAAGTGCACAGAAATCATTAACTTATTGACATTCTCTTCCCATTTCACTGATTGTTTAATGGAAAAAACTTGATCATTTTTTTCAACCAGCTTTTCCTGATAAAGTAATTCACAAATGGAGAGTGATCTAAACTCAGGTTACAAAATAAATCCATCTCTCATCTGAATGTTTTTGTGTTTGAATAGATCACTCCAGGCAGCAAAGCGGCGCAGGGTAACCTGATCCAGGGTGATGTCATTGTTGCCATTGATGGCGTCAGCACGGAGGGGATGACTCACCTGGAAGCCCAGAACAAAATCAAGATGGCCAATTACAACCTGGCACTCACCATGTCCAAGTACGTTCCAGCTCATCTATGATAAAGTTTTGTCTGCTGACCTGAGCAGGGAGGTTTACTGAGGTCTCACCGTGACTTCAGCAGCCACAAAATCAATTAAAGTTATGAGTAAATTATTCACAAAGATCCAAATGTTTAGTCACATTTGCTTTCTGCACGAATCAGTATTCAATAAAACATAATGCATCAGGAAGTTGCAAGTTAGACTTTGGTTAAATCTGTTATTTTCTGCACAAAGACGCACACATATCTGGGTTTTCCTCCTGCTTCTCTTGTTGCTTCTCACAGTTTGTGTTTCATCCATCGGTTCATTTATAGGCTTGCATTGTTTTAACCCTCATGCTGCCCTGGGGTCAAAATGATCCATGAGGTTTCAGCTGAGATATTTAATCTAACAAGGTTGAGTCAGGTCCTCTGGATGGATTATTCTTTCTTGAAACATTTCATCTTTTATCCAAAAGACTTCTTCAGTCTGAGGAGCTGCAACAAACTCAGCACCTTCTCATAGTGGATCAACCAGTCCAGAGGACGTGACTCAACCTTGTTAGATTTATCTACCTGGATTATTGAGGAGATATTTAATATTTACAAAATAAAAACCTGAGGAATGCTTTAAATGTGTAATACCACAGAAGCTGAGAATAATCCACAAATTATACTTTGAGGGCTACGAGATCTTTGATAAAAACTAATTATGATCAGCTTTAACTCCAGCTGTTAGCAAAAAATCACATTTACCACTGAGTAAATTAATGAAACTCTCAGAATTCCAGCACTGGATGAACATCTGCAACGGACTAACTTTTGGAGTTAACCCAATTCAAGATGGCTGCCACTGTCAATCAACGTTGGCCAACAAAAAAAATGGCTACAACTTAATCAAATTTAAAATGAGTAAACTGAAGTTTCATCTGTTACTAGTTGAGATTCATGCCTATAACAAAAACTGAGCACTAATACATTATCTGAGATATTTGTTTAAAACTCTGGTGTGAAAATTGGCTGGAGATATGCATTGTTTTAATGAATTATGGACTTTAATCGTTAAGATTATAGCTGCAGCAGAATGTTTTTCAACCTTATTTCAAGTTTCATGTGAGCAGACTTGACTTTTTTTGTGCAGAGGGTTGTTCTTGTGTTCATGACCAAGTAACGGTTTTATTTTGTTACATTTTAAGGCTTATAAAGACATTTTCTAACCTCTGACCTTCTGCTGTTCAGCAAGTTGTGAAGAAATGGATCCTTTTCCTATATCTTTTGTTCTGTTGAACCCATAACAAACACTGACTCTGTTCACTTCTTCCAGACTGCTGCACAGTGTTTCCATCACAACAACTTGGTTACTGGAGGAGTTCAGGGAAATGCAAACAAACTGCTGAGTTAATGCAGTCTGACCTCATGCAACCCTCTGAGTTTGAGCATGGCAGGAAATCCTCCACACAAAGGAGGCATCCTAATCAGTTGGCTGAACTTTCTAAAAGTGTCAACACAAAAAGTAAAGACTGTCTAAAGGCGCAGGGCTTCAATATCTTTGCTCACTTATTGTTCTTTGTAGTTTTGTAGTTTTATTTTCTAAATGAAACGTAAAACCCACCACCATCCTAAACTAAAAGCAGAACAGGTGTCTCTTTTTTAATTATTGCTCCTCAAAGGTTTAGAAGTACATGTGTGCATCCTCATCATCCTCCTCCCTGTTTTATTCCTGCAGGTCAAAGCATCCCCCTCTGATGGCACCCCCAAGGATGGATGCCATTCCCATGATCCCGCGCCACCAGGTAGCTCCACCCACAATGCATTTTTGCTTAAAGTTAGTTCCATTAGTTTCCATCTTGCATGTTGTCATAAAACCGATCAGCTATTTTCTTTATCAGTTTATTTGATTTATTTATTTTTTTGTCTGCTGTGATGATCTAATAGTTCATAGCAGCAAAAATATTTTTGTTGCCACTTTTGGTTTGTTTCAAAGTCATCATCCAATTTTATCTGCACCTATAAAATCTTGATCTTAGGGTTGAAATGAACCAATTTTTACTAAAGCTTTCACATCTGGAGGGCAAAAACATGACTCAGCAATTATTGGATAAAAAGCAGTGAACATAGACTGTAATGATTGTTTTGTTTAAAGATTTTTCTTTTCTTTTTTAAAATTTTGGAATGTGCACATACATGCTGCAATAACCTGTAATTATCTTAGTTTCTTTCTTTAAGGTAAAAAAAAATGTATTAATTAAAACGCCCACAAATTGAGGACTCTGTCCTAAGGCTAAACTCAACAGCCTTCGTCCCCTTGTGGCTGCAAGAAGAAATTATATATACATACATACATACATACATACATACATACATATATATATATATATATATATATA